TAGTAGCGTCCTTGCTCCTAGTAGCGATGCCCTTTGTTACTAGTAGCTTCTTGTTACTAGTAGTAAGGCCAGGAGCTACTAGTAGCGTCCTTGCTCCTAGTAGCGATGCCCTTTGTTACTAGTAGCGTCCTTGTTACTAGTAGTAAGGCCAGGAGCTACTAGTAGCGTCCTTGCTCCTAGTAGCGATGCCCTTTGTTGCTAGTAGCGTCCTTGTTACTAATAGTAAGGCCAGGAGCTACTAGTAGCGTCCTTGCTCCTAGTAACGATGCCCTTTGTTGCTAGTAGCTTCTTGTTACTAGTAGTAAGGCGAGGAGCTACTAGTAGCGTCCTTGCTCCTAGTGGCGATGCCCTTTGTTACTAGTAGCTTCTTGTTACTAGTAGTAAGGCCAGGAGCTACTAGTAGCGTCCTTGTTACTAGTAGCGATGCCCTTTATTACTAGTAGCGTCCTTGTTACTAGTAGTGAGGCCAGGAGCTACTAGTAGCGTCCTCGCTCCTAGTAGCGATGCCCTTTCCTTGTTACTAGTAGTAAGGCCAGGAGCTACTAGTAGCGTCCTTGTTGCTAGTAGCGATGCCCTTTGTTACTAGTAGCGTCCTTGTTACTAGTAGTAAGACCAGGAGCTACTAGTAGCGTCCTTGCTCCTAGTAGCGATGCCCTTTGTTGATGTTTCTTATGGTTTTCCTTTTCTTTTTGGGTCAATGCTAAATCTGACAGCATATGAGTTGGTAGCTGTGCGTGGCTGGCACATTTACCTAGGCTTACATTCTACCGAATTCTGCCTATTCTGCACTTGCTTCGGCTGTTTTCCACCGAGGATCAGGTCTTCCCGGCAAAGTTTCTAGTGCTGTGACAAATTCCATCGCAGCACTCGCCTCTACCTTCTTCTGTGTAATCCTTTGTTTTCTTGCCTCCCTGCCAAGCCAGTCCCCAGTTTGGAGGAAAAGCTCAAAGTCTGCGGCTTCAGAGAAACCAAAACAGCGTTCTTTTTTGCAAACAAACATTCCATGTTGCATGGACTTAAAGCATCACGGCACTCCATAGAACTCCTCGCACTAGCATCACGGCCTCTCCGCAGCTGCCTTGAAGCGTTCCATGCGCGGGAGCTTCATTCTTTCCTCCCAAATTGCTGGTCACTGCTTGCCTTGCTTTTGAGATTACGAACAGACCGAAACCGTTCCTGCAATGCTTTCTACCTGCTTTTTGCTTGTCCCGCAGCCTCATCTCGTTTCTTTCTCTGCGCGATTGCTTCTGGACTCTTGTCCTGAAGGGCACAAGGAGTCCATCCATCTGAACAAGTACAAACTCCAGACTCCACGCAGACATAAAGCCCCTTGGCAAAAATACATGACAATCAAGCTGCTGTTATCTGCAGCCTGGGCAAAGAATCGACCAAAAGACACCAGGTTACATTGCAATGGTCAAAAAAAGATCACAGCCCTACCGCATAAGGCGCCGCATACTACCGTTATCTACAGTTTAACGGGGCCTGCAGGGGCCGATCCGCAACTCTCCGACTCCATTCCGCACCCCTCCATCAGCTCCTCTTCATCACCGGAATCCTACCCATTGTTTCACTCCAAATGATTCGTATTCTGCTCCTAGTAGCGTCCTTACTCCTAGTAGCGATGCCCTTTGCTCCTGCCTATGTATTCTTATGTATTCTTATCATATCGTATCATGTGTTTAGCAGTGCGCTTGACAAGGCAGTCGTGAAGTTGTGAAGAACGTGGCAGTGCGCCTCAGCCTCTCCACCTAGGGCAGGCTGACGTGTCTCAACGGGCTTCAAGACCTTGACTGAGTTGTAGACCTTGGCGCTGTGCTGCAATCTCTCACAGCACGTCTTGAACAAGCACAAAGGAATAGAAAAAGGAAACAGCAACAACCAAGAGACTGCCAACACAGCGCTGCCACCAGCGAAGGCCATGCCACCCAGCTGAGAGCGAGCTCAATATACAGACTGTCACAGACTCTGTGGTCTTTGCAATTCGATATTGTGGAAGCTATTAGGAACAAGTGCCACGCTAGTAGTAACAAGTGCCTTACTAGTAGTAACAAGAAGCTATTAGGAACAAGCTTAAAGCAGCACCTACGGCACCCAAGGCACCCGAAGTGTCGAACAAACAGTTCCGGTTATTGATTTCGAGCGCTATCGAGCAACGGTTGTAAGATCCAACTAATCCAACTTCTAAAAAGCTTGGAAAGCTTCTTGGAAAGGTTTGAAGCCTCAGGAAAACATGCTGTGGATCCCCACCACCAGTTGTGGCCCAGCAGCACTCATGAGGCCACGGAGGCTGAGAAAGCCTCCAAAGTTACGATGACGATGCGACGATGAGTCTAACGAGTGCGTGCCCGTTCCAATTGCCAAATGTCGACTGCAATGACCTCAAGTATCCTCAACATCGATCAAAGCTGTGCTATTCCATGTTCAACTCGTGTGGACTCGACCAATACCGCAACTCGGTAGCTGCCTGCCATGAAAATGGCAATGGCGCCAAGGCCACAGGCAGATGCGGCTGCCAAGGCACCCGCCATCAACCCCAAGAGTGACGAGAAGTACCTTGTAGCGTCAACGTGCCCAACGTTGTGATGAAGGCGGTGTCAATTCTATCAGGCGGACCTGGCTGAGAAGAAGAGCAACACTGCGCCAGGTCCGAGCCTCGGAAAGATGCATTGGTCCAGACGTCTGAACGGAAACTGCTTCTGAAAAGGGTGCCCAGACAAAGGTCGTCTGAAGCTCTTACAAATTTGCTATAGCTGGTCTCAAGTTCTCAATAGTTTGGCGAAGCGTCTCAAAGCGAAGCATTGCTCTGCGGCTGAGTTTAGGAACAAAAACTTTGCCAGCTTGCCTCTTCGGAGCCTTTTCAGACTCAGCTTGCTTTAGCTTGCTTTGTATTAGACCCTTTGCGAGCCCTGCCTTGGCTGTAGCTTTGCCAAAATGCATGTTTGGCCGTGCTAGGCTGGCCGGACGCCGAGGCTGCACAAAGCAAGGTTGGCAAAAAGGGCACCAACTCACAGGTGCCAGGGTGCCTCGAGCGACCCAAGGAAGTGGAAAAAAGAAAAAGAAACATGTCTTTCTGTTCTTTCTTGTCACCCCGGGGCGCTCCAACATTTGGTCAAGACCGCTCTGTTGTCACCGATCCAACTGGAGCAAAAGCAACCGACTCACATGCGACTTGGAAGCCCTGCAATGGAGGATCAGGGATGGGGGTCGTCAAGGACCGCTGCTCTTGTAGCCTGAGAGGCGAGAGCAAACTTTGCAAAGAAAAAGAAAAGAAGCAGAAATGCACAAAAGAGTAAGAAGGAAAACAAGAAGGTGGGCTTAGGCCCCTAACATAAGACCCCCTTGCAAAGCGGGCCTCATTAAAGAGGACCCAGTCCACCTTCTTGTTTTCCTTTCCAGTCTCAGAACGATGCAAAAGGATTAATTAACTTTGCTGATTATGTTCGTTCGGTCGGTCATACAGACAGTTGCAGTGAGAATCCCGGCAGCGCAGGATCCATTGTTGTCATGGTCGTAATGGTGGTGCTTGTCATCGTCCTGGTACGTGTGACCGAAACTGTCGTCGTGCTTGAGGCATTCCTCAGATCTGGGTTCAAGCACACAACTCCAAGTGGCTTGGAGCTAGCCAAAACCAAGCTCCTGATCATATTTCAACTAGGACAGTGTATATTGAAAAAAGTAGTTCGAGTCATCTTTTGCCAGTATCTGTGAAACCCAGTAGTGATATGATGTGATACGTCTCGCTTCAACTTCGCAGATCAGCGCTGTGTGCTATACACAAGTTTCTTGCCCATGTGAAGCCCAGATTCGAGTCATTGGAATCTTTTGATTCATTTGTCCAAATCATATCCACGGAGGTGACAGTGTCCAAGCTGGTGCTCGTCACAGTTGTTGTTGTGCCTTTATTGAACAGAATCGAGTGTTTCAAACCTGTATCCACTGTATAAGGCAAGAAAGGAAATAGTTAGACGGTCTATTCATTCTTGTAATTCTTGTAAGCTGACAACCCAACAGAGCAAACTTGATTCATAATCACGTCAACTTGGGAGCTTGCCTGTAGTATCCTCTGTATCATTCAGCTCTTCTGGCGGCTCTGCTACAGAGTCTGCCTGGCATACAATCAAAACGTGACGCGCCTATAGCCCATTTCCTTACTGTATATCTTTGGGGAGAGCAGTGACACAAAAATATTCTGGCGGAACGAAGCACCCACGATAGATTGTACCGCACTGCTTTCAATTTTGCTTGAAGGTGGAGGCAGCTAGAGTAAGCGTAGTAGCAGTAGCAGTAGCAGTAGAAGTCGTACTCGTAGTCGTAGTGGTAGTGGTAGTGGTAGCAGCAGTAGCGGTGCAGTAGTAGTAAAGATGTACCCTTCCAACAAGCTGTCCCGTTACAGTTGCTAAACAACAAGCTGTTCAATCTGTTCTTCCAAAGCAGGTGCTCCCTGCCTTGGCACGCTCAGCATCCCTCGCACAGTAGGCCTGCTACACACCCCATAGCATTGATGGACAATCTTTGGCTAGAGGGACCTCTTGGTGATGGTCGTTGGCCCCATTCCGCATTCTGAACCAACCAGGGAGGGCCGATCCAAACCGACATGCTGCATGTCTGCTTAAGCACCACTTTATGCGGCAATGAAGCGTTCAGCAGGTTTGGACCATTCTCAGAGCTTTCCCAGCAACCTTCCTGATGGCTTTTCTACAGTTCAGTAGCAAACTGATCTTGGCTGACGAATGCATGTGAGTTGCTCTCACAAGCCAAATCGACCACTGGGGGTCGACCCTTCCACTCCTGCCATGAAGAGGGCTCCCTGGGCATAGGCGATGTGACCCATGACCTGATCGCAGTCTTTCTCATCTTGAGATCAATTCGTTCCTCAAACTGTCAATTTGCTTCAGAATCAAAAGATTGTGGTATATCAATGTATGTGTATCCTCTTTGTAGAGCTTCTAAAGACTGAATTCGGGATGGGTTGGGTATCCTTTTAGGGATGGGTCCACTGAATCCATTGCTGTTCTGGGCTCTGCACGGTGGGTTCAGGAAGTAAAAGTCCCAGAGGCTTGAAACCACCTTGACAATGGGAGGGGTGGAGGCCGCTCTTAGGCTACCATCGCTGTGAGAATCGCCCTCTGCTGAAGGCTACCGAGTTACCTTTTAGGCTGAAGGCCGATGAAACTGAATTGAAATTCATTGAATTCCCAAGATCGGTTGACCAAGTGTGCAAGGGTCGGTCTCTCAATCAACTGCTCCATGCTGTCGAGTGGCAGGTGGGGCGTTTTGGAGGTTGAGAAGCTCCTGCAACTCTTGATGGACCAGATCAGGTCTCGTTGTTTTTCAGCAACCCCATGAAAGTGCCAAACAAAACTCGTTCGAAAGAGCAACAAAGTCGAAGGTAAAGGACTCCCAGCGCCTCTGGCGATCCAACATCCCACCATGGCAAAAAAATCGCAGATAGGAAGAGAGCGCTGCCGACCAGACCCAATACTCCTGAAAGAGGCCAAGCCACACATTCAATACACAGGACCACTGGTTATCAGATTATCATGCAGGAGCTTTGAAGAATGGTCGTCGTCAAGACACCCTGCAGGGCCAAAACAACGCATATGTCAAGTCTTGCTCTGCTCTGGAACGGCAACAGCAGAGATTTCGTTTCGTATCGCTTCTCCGTGCTTCTCCCTTGCCCACAATCCCTGCACTCCTGAAGCAAGACTCGCGCACCTGGCCAATTGCCGAATTCGAAAAAAAAGAATTATGTTCTTGCAATATTGAAAGCCAATAAAAGTCATAGCCTTGGGACGGAAATGTGGCCCGGATTTAAGTTGTTCGATTCCTTGATGCTCTTGTTAGCTCTACACCCTGTATTTTGCAAACCTAGAGTTTTGTAGATATGTGAGAAGAAAGTAAAGTGAAAATCTCAATAGGCATCAAGGCATCTTCTACTCTACTCCGAGACCCATTACTGTGTGCAGGTTTGGACCCTTAGGCTCCGGAGTCAGATCAATGAGTTGAAGCCTGGCTTTATACGGGTGTGATACCATTTCGCAGGAACATATTGGCAAAGATTGAAAACACGTACTTCACGCGACAACGCTGCCTGATGCGCTCTTTATTCAGGTACATTGTGACATCGTGAGCTCACACGAGCCATCGCACGGCCCAAGCAGCTCCACACGTAAATCCACCAGTGTCTACCAATGTCTGTGTGTTCAGACAGATTCCTCGCTCACACAGATAAGAGCTTTGACGTTGGTATCGCGTACTGATGTGTTTTTGGTAAATGCACATAATCTTCTTTGAAACCGCAAGTTCAAGTTCTTTTGAAATAATACGGCCTCCTGTGAATTACTTTGAACGTTGGAGCCAATGTTAGCAGTGAGAAACTGATGAGTGGCGATCGGCTAATTTGTTCAAATTCCAAACATGTCAACAATGTATTCTTTGCGCTGCGCGTTCCTTTTCTCAAAGCAGAACTTTGCTGCTTCATCAAAGGCGGTGGAGCCTGGCCAAATGAAAGCATCCACAAACTGGGGATCCTCAGTTTCTCAGTTGGACCGAATTGTTGAGTTCACAGGTTATAAGTTATGATCTTTCTAGGTGGTCTGGTCCAGTTGCTGGTTCTTATCTCTGTATCAGAGTTACTGGAAGTTCTCAACACTGGACAGTAAAACGCTGAGGGCCAAGCCATGCCGGCATACCGCTGCACTGCCACGCTGTCTGGAAAGGTCCCCTGGCATCGTGCCACTTGCAGAAATCCGATACCGCTTCAAGGCCGACGCGCATGGACTAAGAAAGCTCCCAAGGGATGTGTTCATTGGACATTTGGATTCTAATCGCTATTAGGCTGAAGGCCATCGCTACTAGGTTGGAGGCCATCGCTACTAGGTTGGAGGCCATCGCTACTAGGTTGGAGGCC